TGTTATCTCTTGCATTTCTGGAATCCCTTCGTCTGGCCGTGTCAACTGATTCGGTTGTTCATATATGGGATCCCTTTATGGAAAGTGTTGTTTGCCAGGTAATTTCTTATGACATACACACAGAAGCTGTAACTCTGATACAGGTATTTTTTACTTAAAAGAGTTTGAAATCACATTTTAATACATATCTTATCTAAACTTATACATAATAAATAAATACTATTAAAAAATTTGAATCAGGAATTTCTGAAATTAAGACGTTATTTCAGACATCCTCCTTATGAAACGTAATCTCAAATTGCACCTTGCATTTCAATTGTTATCTTAATATTTTTTATATTGGCCTTCTGTACCTGACTCCCGTGAGTTTTGGAAAATTTTACTTACGATGTTTGACTTCAATTATCAATTGGAATGAAGAACTTTTGACCTGATTTGAATTTCTTATGTGTTCAAGATTTGAATATATCGTGATGTGTTTTAAATTTATATATTTTAGCTGGATCATTTGAAATCTCCAGTGAGTATAGTCCGTACTCTTCCTGGCCCTTCGAGCGTAATAGTGGCTGCTACAACGGATGCCTCGATAAGGCTGATCGATGCCAGGTCTCCTAGCCATAATCATGAGCTGAAGGTGAGATTCTCAACCGCCAAAAAATAAATTAAACCTACTTTCAATTTGTGAACATTTGACCTATGCACTAGTGTATGCACTTTAGAAAAGCGTTGATAGAGGCTTTTTTGAGTTTAAAGCACGCCGGCTTTCTCATGATGTTTTCCTTTAGCGTATGAGTTCGTTAGATCGAGGAAGAAATTGGTGCACGGCCGTGGATCGAACCCACAATCTCAGTCGGATGACAGTAAAATTCTGAAATCACGAAACCGACACTGCTCCATGATGAAACTTTACTGGTACCTAAGTTGTTTCTTCATTTCTCAAAGTGACTTAGTTTCCGAATTTGTTGACAAACATATTACGATAGCGATTTTTTATACAATTCAGACACTTTAGAGAACAGCTAATAATAATGTTCTTGGTTTATGGGAGTACAAGATAAACCTGCGTTATAAGTTATAAATGGGAATTCGTGGTCAGCGAAAAAGTAAATTTTGCTCACGAATCTGACAGGAACTATATATTTTTTTAGCTGCCATCGAATACAAGCACGTTCATCCGCTGTATGTGCGTAAGTGGGGCAGGGGGGTGGGTGGCAGTGGGGCTTGCCGGGGGACAAGTGGCCATTTTAGAGCCCCGCACGGGTCTGCCCCGTGCACATTGGAGAGCACACGATGGAGAGGTAAGTAGATATTAGCACGCTTACCACTTTGCTTCAATATTGGTATTTATACTTTTTTTTTTCAGGTACTACGTCTAGCAGCTGTGGATGAGCACAGATTGTTAAGCTCTGGTCTAGATCAAGTTACAGCTCTATGGAAAGTGGAGGATGGAGAACTAATAACACATCTCAAGTATGTTGAGTTTGAATTTATATAACACAAAGCAGTCATGCGGAGGTATACACGTTTCTGCTTATGTATCATTAGTCATTTAAATATCGTTTAGCTGGGAAACGAACAGAATTTCATTCGTAATTCCACTAATTCTGAAAAAGTTTTTAAAGACAAACCCAAAATCATTTTTATTCTTTTTCAGTCGGATTATTGCTTCAATAGATTCTAAAATAATAAGTGACCGCTTCAGAAAATATTCATAAAAATTACTATTCACACTTCAGAAAATATTCGTCGCAGTTATAAAGTACATCTACTTAACAAAAATCCCACGAAATTTAGTTTTTAATCTGGACGGATGCCCAAAAATATTTATTTATCTATATCTTTATTTTATTTATTTATCTATTTCTTTATTCTTTGTTTTAGTAACAATTATACTTATTTTTTACTTTTTTTATTTATTATATACTTTTACACACAAATCTTCCAAGACTTCTTTACTTACACTGTTAATATTTACAATCATTATTATTCTTTCTATTTTTGCGTCCGAAACTAACTGTTGTGGTCTCTGGCACAATGACCAGCGCTGTGGAACACGTCTGATCCTCAGCATAATGCTGAGCCAGGGCCAGATACAACCACAACGCACACACACACTTAAAATGTCCCTTAAAAAAAATTTATTTTTATATTTTTCTTTCTTTTATGATTATTATTATTCTGTTAGTAATAAATGTTATGTCTATGTTATTACGTTCGGGAAGTGCTAATTTTCTTTAGAAATTTCAGATGCGGATTCTTAACCCTTTAAACATAACCATTTCAGAGGGATCACAGAACCGGCCCACTGTCTCTCGGTGTATTACAACGAGCTTATATCTGGAACTACTAACAATCGTATTGGTGTCCATACGTCACTGGACCAGGACGCATCATTTTCCAGCACCAAATTACGATCTGATTCATTCAAAGGAGTTTTGACTTGTATGTCGGTGTTGCCATTGAATAGATTATTACTGCTCGGTAGCGATAATGGAAATATTAGTTTGCTTTGTTGACCAATCGATCTTAGATTAGAAAAAATAGAATGGCAACACTGTCTTTAAACTTCCGAACATTCCTATAAAAACGTACTTTAAGTCATATATTAGTTATAATTAGAATGCTTTGTCCTGTGCAGCCTTACGTTTCTATATAAATAATTAGAATGCTTTGTCCTGTGCAGCCTTACGTTTCTATATAATCGTGACAAAATTCTTTTACTATTTAAAACTTTAAATACCGTTAATACCGTGTAGATCAAAGAATTTTAAACACATTTTAAAAATAAAAATATTTTTATTTAACAATTTTAAATTACTGAACTACGTGATTTTGTTTTTGATTAGACCTTAAGAGTTAAAACGAGCTAATCATGTAAGGGTTAAATGAAGAGAGGTGGAGATAAATTTGTGAATCTGAAGAAATACAAAACAAATGCGGCAGCTAAACATAGGGTACATATGTAAAGTCTATTCAGTTGTTATAGTAAAATGACGATAATAATTTAAGCTCCGAAATTACTAGACTCAAGAAGAGGCCGCTAATGAATTGGTTTAAAGAGATTTTTAGATTGTAGTTATGTAATAATTATCTAAGTACATTTATTTAATAGAATTTATCTTGCCTATTAAGCTGGTATACTTATCTGTGTTATATTTCATGATTAAGAATAAATGTCTATTATAGACATTTGACAACAAGTTTACAACATTTTCTTTAATGCAGCTATATTTATTTTCGCAATTAATTAATGTTACACATTCCGAAATTTGCATTCCAACAGAGATTTAAGAGTAAGTTAAAATCAACGCTGATTGCGTTTCACGTTTAAGAAAAATGATACTAAAATATTTTTTGGCAACATTATCAGTGTTGCCACTTAAATGCGTGACCAAATTTCGATTTAATTTGATACCCGATGCTCTGTTTTTTGGAGTACGAATTGTTTAGAAAAGGAAAATATGCTGCCTCAGGCACTTGAGGCATTTTATTGTAATTCACAGGTATGTTATATTAGATCAAGAGCCCAGGACTGCCAGACTTTCGTCATTTTATAAAAGCTGAAAATTCTTCTGTGCGTGTCCCCTATACAGGTAAGAACGACCAGAGACTATAGAGTTTGGGTAGTGGTTACTTTGGCAGATAACAGGTAGTAAAGACTAAGCGCTCGCGCTCGGACCTACAGCGGACTTTCAATGTGTCTGGCAGGGTGTAAAAACCATTGAAACTGTCCGGCTATTGAGATATCATATTTTCATAGGTCCCCAAGTAACATATATAAAATTTAGCTTTTATACTCTAACGAAAGTATAATTATAATTAATTAATGTTTAGGGGTGTCTGGCAGGGGGAAGCAACTGTCATAAGTGTCCGGCAATGTATGACGATATTTATAAAGTTATCCCTAATAAAATATAAAAAAAATTGAGCTTTATACTTTAAGGGATTTAAGGTACTATTTTATACACCTTTACTACCTGTTATCTGCCAAAGTAACCACTACCCAAACTCTATAGTCTCTGGTCGTTCTTACCTGTATAGGGGACACGCACAGAAGAACTTTCAGCTTTTATAAAATGACGAAGGTCTGGCCTAAGCAAAGAGCCCTGGGCTCTTAGGATATATGAAAAGATGTGAGGTTTAAATTTTTCAGTACAGTATTTTTTATTCTAAGTACAAAATATGGTTACCAAAGATATGGTTTTTTAATTTATCTGTCTTTGATGGATTTAATATTGTAAATTAAAGTTTGTTCTCGAAGCTCAATTAAAATTTATTTTTAGAAATGTAAATGCAGTTTTGCAGGACAATATAATTTACATTGCTACTAAATATATTATTTATTATATACATCGCGTGACAAAGAAGCAATGTAAAGAACACTGTTATGAGCCTACGAACAAAAATTATCGATAAGAAGCTTGATTATCTGCATTGTTGTAAGTAAACAGATTATCATAAGTCTTAAATGTCCATAGTCAGTCCGCTAAATAAGAATAGTTTAAGCTTTTGACATAAACCCGTTGTTATATACGCACTATGTATCGTATTATATTAAAGGTATTTTTTTGAATATAGATCTTTTTAGCTTGTATTTGTGTGTTTTATTAAATATTTCACCCAACCCTGCAACACTAATTATGTTTTATTTTTATTAAGTTAGTATTACCCGTATCCTTTTGAAATTACGGGTACATAATGCAGATGTGTTAGAGAGGTTGGGGCTGCGAGTACCGATTACTCACACTAGGCATGGGAAACGGGCGCGCACTATTTAGTATTATTTGACTTGAGAATTCCTATTATATAGGCCCATTTAGATGGAGAGAGTTTCTCACATGTTTTGGTGCGAGAAATCGTACGGGACTATCACCAGCAAGAATCGCCATAGCATTATCGTATTAAAATTTATAAATACAGGCAATAACTAAATTCTCATCGATGAATTACGATCATGTCATACGAGATTCGCCAGTGATTTATCGCAAGGCGATAATAACCTGCGTCTGTTAACACTTCGAACTTTTAGTCAGAAGATTCTTTCCTACGAGAATCTCGACTAGTATAAACACGATCTCGTACGACTTTTTTTATGTTCATACGAGTATCGTACAAATCGGTTGAACCGAGTTCGAGATAATTCATTCGAGTTTAGTGATTACCATGTTTTTTTTGACAAAACATCCTTTAAATTTGGCGCTGCCGTTAATATTAAGTTCATTGAACTTGAGTTGAAGTAAGTGTGGAACACGGAAAATGAAAACTATAAAAACCGTGATGCGAGAATTGCACTCTTAATGCATTTACGAGAGAATTGTGTGTTGAGGGACTGGAGCTGGGGGTGACAGTATTTACGTGCCTAAATTGCAATTCGCACAATGCTCCAAAATTGTTTCTCCTAGCTATCCATTTTTAACCCAACTTCTAATAGTTTTTTCCGTTTCCGTTTAATTAATTCTTGTCTTAGAAGAGCAGATATAATTAAACCACCCTCACGCACTGCACTTATGGTAGCAACTGGCACAAAACCTCGAAATACGATTATTTTTCTTGAAATTCCGTTTTAACACGGACACAATAAATTTTCCATTGCGAGACAATTGTCGCCAAAGTGGAAGAGTAAGAGGTGTGAATGTTTAGACGAAGAATCTTTTTTATATTCTTTCGATAATCGTAACTTCGAGACGAGAAACTCTCCATCTAAATGGGCCTTTAATGATGATTTTAAGTAGTCATTTAACCTTTTTAGAACAGTGTGACAGAAGAATTGATGACACAAGTAATTAAAAACATCAAATCTTATACAAATAGAATTAAATCTTATAATAATATTTTATCAATAATTGTCTTTCAACTGGCATCATGCCTCATCATCGTCGTCGTTCTAGTTCATCTTTGGTGGGTGGAAGACATCCAAGCTTACAACATGCAGGACCCGACGTCTCCGAATTGACTCTGCTCAAAGAAGAATCACACTCTGGGGACCACTTTCTTACCCCTGCACAGTTAGAAGTTGTTTTTCGAACCAACATCATCACTGGCCTTACGGAAACATTCGCAAAGGAAATGCTAGAGACCTATGGACCTAATAAGCTAAAAGAGCTCAAAGGGAATAGCTACTGGAAAATTTTCAGACACAATCTCTTTGGATGGTTTCAATGCGTACTTTGGTGCGGAGCTATATTAAATTTTGTTGGTTATTTCTTCTCTGACACACTAGATTCTGGAGATTCTTCCGGACACAGCGGTAAGGAATACCTTTACTTGGGTTGCGTTATCACAGCTACTATTGTTGGCACTGGACTTTTTGGGTTTTATCAAGAAGCTAAGAACATGGCAGTTATGAGTGGTTTTGAAAATTTAGTTCCTCCGAACGCGACTGTTATACGAGATAATACTAAAAAGGTTATCCCAAATTCTGATGTGGTCATAGGTGATATTGTGGAAATGACGGGAGGGGAAGTGGTGCCAGCGGATGTTAGAATTCTTTCATGCACTAATTTTAAAACTGATATGTCTTCACTTACCGGCGAGTCTGAACCAATCCAACACCGACCTGAGTGCACTAACTCAAATCCACTAGAATCGAAAAATATGGTCTATTTCGGGTGCCCGATCAATGAAGGGTCTGCCAAAGGGGTGGTTGTGGCAACAGGAGAGATGACGCAAATAGGAAAAATCGCTGGTTTAGTTACTGGCTTAGAAAAAGAAGAAACGCCTATTGCCAAAGAAATTACGCATTTTATAAAGTTGATATGTGGCGTTGCATTTACATTTGGTATAATGTTTTTCATTATGGTATTCGTAATTCAAAAAAGTTGGTTAAGTGCCCTCCAATACATGCTCGGTATTATCTTAGCGAATGTGCCGGAGGGTCTGATTGTCACATTGACGGTATGTATGACTTTATCTGCTAACAATTTGAAACAGAAGAACTGTTTAGCTAAAACACTACAAGCTGTAGAAACATTAGGCTCAACTTCGTGTATTTGTTCAGATAAAACTGGAACATTGACTGAAAATCAAATGAACGTATCGCATTTGTTTTGTAACTTTGTAATTTTTGACAAAAATGATCACGAACATGTTTCGGACCCTTCATATGCAACTTTGAGTTTAGCTGCATCTTTAAACCTTAAGGCTACGTTTGCACATGACACCATCAATCTACCAATTGAGAAAAGAAAAATATTAGGAGACGCATCTGAATCGGCGATTTTGCGATACATGGAACTTAACCGCTCTGCAACACAAATAAGAGAGAATAACCCTAAAGAAGCGGAGATACCGTTTAGTTCAGCTTACAAATACCAAGTTACTATTCATCGTATGCAGGCAACACACAGCTATTATTTAATTATGAAAGGTGCTCCAGAAATTGTCCTAGAATTTTGCACAACAGTATCAACTGACGAAGGAGATGTACCTTTATCTCCTCAAATTAAGAAAGAGCTAAAAGCAAGCTTTATTAAACTTGCAAACATGGGCGAACGGGTTATAGGTTACTGCGATTATAACTTGGCATTGGCTAATTATCCTCTAGGTTACAAGTTTGATACACAGCAAAGAAACTTTCCTGTTGAGAATTTAAGATTCGTAGGCGCAATATCAATGATAGATCCTCCTCGACGCGATATAGATAAAGCTATTGGTTTATGTCGACAGGCTGGTATACGGGTCATCATGGTAACAGGAGACCATCCGGTTACCGCATTGGCTATATCCAGGCAGTGTGGAACTATTACACAGCCTACAGCATACGATTACGCTTTTGAACATCATATTGATTTAGCAGATGTTCCACCGCTAATTAAAAGCCAATTTAAAGCAGCTGTTATCACTGGCGATGAATTACGAAAGATGAGTGAAAAAGATTTGATAATGGCACAGAAAAGATATAGAGAAATCACTTTTGCGCGAACTAGCCCACAACAAAAATTATTCATTGTTGAAACGTATCAATCGCTAGACCATGTTGTAGCTGTAACGGGTGATGGAGTCAATGACTCGCCAGCTTTGAAAAGGGCTGACATCGGAATAGCAATGGGTATAACTGGAACAGAAGTATCCAAGCAGGCTGCGGATATGATACTATTAGACGACAATTTTGCGTCTATTGTACTGGGGATACAGGAAGGTAGGCGTATTTTCGACAATTTAAAGAAAACCATAGCTTATACGCTTACATCAAACACTCCTGAAATGTTGCCCTTCGTTCTGTATGCATGCGTAGGAATGCCTCTGCCAATGACTTTAATATTAATATTGGTAATAAATGTTGGAACTGATCTATTACCCGCTATGAGTCTAGCTTACGAGACGTCTGAGGATGACATAATGTCTCTCCCACCTCGTAAGCCAACAGATCATCTTGTAAACAGAGTTCTCATATTCATGGCATATTTTCAGGTCGGTATGATCCAATTCTTTGCTGGAATGTATGCTTACTTTATTGTGTTCGCCCAAAGTGGATTCTTTCCCTCGAGTATTTTATTTGTTCGGCAAGATTGGGAGTCTCCCAATGCTTTGGTGAAAGATACTTTGGGAAGACAATGGCTGTTCGGCGATAGGAAACGAGTGGAAAGACGAGCCCAAACTGCATATTTTGTTGCTATATGTTGGACACAAATATCTGATGTAATCATTTGTAAGACACGACGTATATCCTTACTTCAAAAGGGCATGCGAAATCATGTTCTCAACATGAGTATCGTGGTTGATTTGATTGCGGCACTTGTGGTAACTTACCTTCCACTCTGCCACGAGGTTTTTGGCACTGAACCTATCTCCTGGCATGATTTCTTTCTGGCCACGCCTTTTTTCATTCTCATGATCCTTGGTGATGAATTTAGAAGATACTTAATAAGACGCAATGTATCTAAGTGGGTTGAAAGAGAAACCTATTATTAAAACAAAAATAATGCATTTAACAAAAAATATTTAAGTTTCTAAGAAAAGATGAATTTATGTTATTTAAGTTTAAATTAAATTATTTATAATTTCGCTTATAATAATTAATACTTTAATTGATAATTATTGATTATGCGTTTAATTTCTAATAAGTAGGTACTAATACTAATAGTATGTACGAAACGTAATATGTTAGTTTTGTGCAATTACAGTCTCATTTAATAAGAAAGGCATTTTACACTCAAATTACTATCAAGAAACTAGTCTTTGCGACATAAATGTAAGGCTAGGAGTACTAAGTAAAATTAGGTACAAATAATAATATTAAATATTATGATTAAATATTAAAGCATTATTATTAAATATTGTAAGGTTAATGAAATGTTTAATTACAAAATAAATTGATTTCTCACTTTACAGAAACAGAAAAGTTAAATGAAAATACAAATTATGTTGAATTCTATTTATTAAATAAATGATTAAACCGTATACCATAATTAAATATAATAAAATATGTGACAATTACGGCAAACGAATAGTGGTGGTAGTAACTTAGTAATATTACTTGTTAGGTACAACAGTTGTAAAACAGTGAATTCTGTTGAAAATAAATAAATAAAAGCAAATAGAAAAAATTGCTAGTAGAAGTAAAGAGACGAAAAGAGTTCATTTAGACTTATTTTGATTTTTTTAATGTCTTGGTACTTTTTACTATTGTATAATCGTTAGTAAGAAACCTTAACTGTCTGTGAATATCTCTAACATACGCGCGGGCGCGGCCAATATGAATTTTAATCTAGATCGAACATGGACAAGCGGCGTACCGAGTACTTAGATAGCCTAACTCGCGATGTGACCCACATTGAGCACAAATCTATAAAATCGTGTGCGCCACTAAAACCGACAAAATATGAGCCAACAATTAAATAATTACGTTAAGCATTATTAGGGTTTTATAATATTTTTGTCCTTATTGATAAAAATATGTATTTTGAGATATACACATGTGGTAAATATAAGGAATTTAAAATGATCACTGTTAAATACCGAAAATTATTAGTTTTTTATTATATAAGTATTCGTTTTGAACTACAAAAATATATATACTATATTGAACATTATCTTCACCGGGATCTCCATTATCAAAAACTAGCGCTATCATTAAACTGTGTTTTGTTATATGTATTATGTATATAATATGTCTGGCATTAGGACTTGAACCATAGACCTCATACCGGAGATCAGACCGGAGTTTGTGTGCAGATGCTCCTTCCTGATATGTTCCGTAGAAAATTGCATATTCTCTTGCAATGCTATATTATCATATTTCAATAAGATGTCTTGATGTCTAGACGTTATTTATCGACTTACAATTCTGTCATCTTAATTAAATCGTTATTTAAAATTTACATACAATGAGTATGGTGTCGCCACCAGTGGTAATTACGTTAAAAGAATGTTAATACATGGTCAATTTATGCTGTATGTATTTTTAAAAGCAAAGCGAAAACTGCAAAAAGTTCAAAGTTTTATGAAATACAATTATTACGAAAATCATGTTTAAGTACATAATTTATTTAAATTAAAATATTTTCTTCAATTAATTCAACGTGTATTTTTTCAACCAAGTTCTAGAATAGACAGGGAGCAGATCATGCCACACGAGAGTCAGTTTTATTATTATTAAAATTTACGTATAATATTAATAATAGTGATGATGGCCTAGCGGTTTCAGCGTGCGAATGGCATTAAATCCTAATACCGGCATGTCTCAAATCATACTAATTATCTATGAACTAAACATTATCAAAGAAACGGATATAATCTGAGGCCATTTAGGGTTTGTTGCGCTACTGGATTGATATCTAACAAAAGTATAGTCAATACTTGTTATTATCGAAATCCTTCATCATATCCAGATTTTATTTAGTTTTCCATCGTTACTCTCACACTGCACGAACTATGATTCCCGTATGTCAAAATCCATTACGTAAACTTTCATATTTGCATTCAAAGCTACACCCAGTAGTTAACGGGGGGGGGGTTATTATTTTTTTCCGATTTCCATTATTTGGCGTTAGCGCCAAATAATGGAAATCGGCAACTTGAGCGAAACTTAAACTGCGAATCTGGCGCTACCAAACGCTAAATAATAATTACACATTCCTCAAAAACTTACTAAGCTAAACAAACAAATACATTTATATAAGAATATATCTATGTGGACTTTAAAGATGGAACTGTATGGAAAGGGGAAGAAGGAGAAGAGGGCGCCCCAAAAAAGATGGAAAGAAGAAATAGAAGCGGTAGCAGGAAGTGAATGGAGAAAGAAAGCCATATACATACAAGGTCAGTTGGAAAAAGCTGGAGGCAAAGGCCTGACCGGGTATAGCCCCGTGACGGGGTTCCGATTGACGGTACCTGAAGGTAGCCAGGATATAATATATTGGATAACAAGATGAAAATATTGTATAAAATGTAAAAAATATCTAAGCTGTATATTATCACTTTTTTTGACACGATTGGAAATTAAACGGGCTTGATTATTATTATTACATCTATGTTTAATTTTTTTATTTACAATAATCTTAACCTACATAGTAATAAATAATAATAATAAAAAAATTATAAATAGAAATCTAAAATAAATTTAAAATGTTTGGTCCCTGCGGCAGTGATCCTTTAATGCTGGCAGCATTTTCTCGCTGCATTGCAATACTTTTTCGTTATTTAATAATAAATTAATTAATTTGTAGGTGTATATGTTTAAAATACTGCTTAAGAACCTGAATTTATTTTCTCACAGTTCTAAACTCTAAAATTTAGGTATGTTGCAGCTGAGTTTAATAAGTTTAAATAAGTTTTTCCATAAATAATTAATTTTTTTATGGATTCTCAGATTAGCAAAAAAGTTTTCTCTATAATCATACCAAAAACAATAGAAACCAGACTTGGGGACTGTCTTAATAAAAAAATGTAAACTTCGACCATCTTACGTTTCTGAATCTCGCCTTTTGAAAGGTCGGCAACGCACTCGCGAGCCCTCTGCCCCAAAGTAATTGTCCAAGGACGGCGGTATCACTTAACATCATGTGAGCCTCCTACCCGTTCGCCCCCTGTTCTATATAAAAAAAACAAACGTATAGAAAGAAATTATTTTATCGATCGAATCGACCTAGAGTCAACTAAAATTAACACAAAAAATATCAATAATTATTTTAGAATGTAGGTATTTAGGTCCATTGTATGTCAAGGGTGTCCCAGATATGATACGTTCGTATTTATTTCACACTTAATTTTATACTGGCTTTTTTACAGATAGGGTACGGCAAGATTTGGTTACGATACGAATGTAGGCACAAAACGGCAAAAAAGAGTTAACCTATTCTATTACGTTCGCAATAAAAACAAGAAAGATTAAGTATTCAAATTTAAAAAAAAAACCCAGTGGCGCTACAATATTTTTAGGCTTGGGCCTCAGATTTCAGTGTCTGCTCCATGATCATTTGCCAATGTCATTGACAAATGATCATGTTTTCCTTTACCGTTCGAGTAAATATCAAATGTGCACATAGACAGAAAGTCCATTGGTGCACAGCCGGGGATCGAACCTACTAACTCAAGGATGAGAGCCGCACGCTGAAGCCACTAGGCCAACACTGAGCAAAGAAAAAAAACACTAACACAAAGATTTAATATCTAATATTTTACTTTTTAATAACTATATTATATCATCTCTCTTCTGTCTTGGATTTACTATGTCGGATTATCGAATAACATCATGCACACCTGTAGGGCTACTCTGTAACGGTTACGGATACTATTTGGTTATCTATGGTCCGTATTGTAATCTACGTATATCAAATAATTATAGGCTATATTGAATTGTAATTTCGATTTGAGTAGTTCTTTCTTTCGATGCCTACAAATTATACTGATGTCGCTTATTACAAAAAGCTCAATATCGTAACGGGAATGCTGTCGCTATATTCGCTTTGTATTTGTCAGTTACAGGGTATGTGTGCTGGTATAGCTTAATATGTATTAATTCTTATATGTCACATTTTATTTAGCGTAGGTAAATTTGATTACACAATTTAAACGGCGTTATAATGAAATAATATCACAGAACGCATAATAATTATGATTAATTAAAATATTAAAATTATGAAGTTAATGTTGGAAATTCGTGAGACATATTCTCTTAAGGATAATAATTATTTAATTTGAAACGTTAGATTATCAACCTTAACTTGAGCAATTCATAGTATGTAGGGCGCTAATATTAAAGCAATAAATTATTAGTGGCAATAGAGCATAAAATCAAGCCTTAAAAACTGTATCGCGGTTACTAAACATACCCCTAAATCCATACATTATACTTTCATGTGAGGTCCACGTCTTGTATCCTTGGTTTCGAAATTGTATCAGGTGTCCGGCCGTTGCTTTATAAGCAATGCGTTTGCGCATTTGGACACATGTGCTCTTGTACCACCAACGACCACACGCAATAGTCATGTACGCGAAGGTACGATATTTTATCATATTTTGTTTTTCTAATTATCACCTATGTTTTGAAATATAACCATTATTGAAAACTAAACGCGAACTATTCAATTGTATATCTATGTATTATTCGGTCCACAGTATGTATAATTTGGTTGACTTAATCCAAAACAATTTATTTCTACGTGAATTTTGATCATCTTTCACGAATGAAAAATAAAGATTATGTTTCCTCTAGTTATTCATCGTTTGCTGCGTGTTGGCGGCTGCTTCAGCAGCGCCAGGATACCTCGACGGTATCGGTTATGGTGCGCCAGCCTACACCACACACACGTTCGCTGCACCTGCCATCACACACACTATTGCCGCTGCTCCCGTATGTATAAAAGCTTTTGAATTTGGTCATTTTCACGATGTCCAAGTCCAGGGTTTGGTCGGAGATATGTAATGATTATGGTTTGGTTGAAGTTTGAAGGCTTCTAATATTTTTAAGATCACAGCATTCGCAAAGGGTTTAAAGTCAGTCACGTGACTATAAGAATATACGCTGTATCTGAAAAAAAAAACTGAAAGCTATCTATTAAGATATTATTATCATATTATCTATTAAGTTTATTTTCAAATGAAAAAAAAAAAAAAAAAATTCAGGAGACTATTTTAACCGATATTTATTCTAGGTGGTACGCGCTGAGCCTGTCGACCCTAACCCAGCCTACACTTACTCATATGGCGTGAACGACCCCTCAACTGGAGACCACAAGGATGCCCAGGAGACACTCCAAAACGGAGTAGTACATGGATCTTACAGCCTGGTCGAGCCTGATGGCCACCTCAGAAAGGTGACCTACACGGCCGACCATGTAAACGGCTTCAACGCTGTTGTCGAAAGGACTGGCAATGCGCACCCTGTAAGTATATTGTATATGGTTGCTTATCACAGTATCAGTTTATTTGCTAAAAAAATAACATGCTATGTTTTTCTTTATTGAAAGATTTAATGGAAAGGCAAATAGCTATACTCGTGTCTTCTTTCGCCTCACCGTCTTAGTACAGCGCCAGTATTTAATGCGATATTTTGTATTGATTTTATCGAGCATACGTGCATATATTTAGTCTTTACCTTTTATAAAAAATAAAATAAATCAGTGGCGCTACAACCTCTTCAGGTCTGGGCCTCAGATTTCTGAATCTGTTTCATGATCATTTTTTTTTATCTAATAGGCAACTAGCTGATCAGCCTCCTGTGCTTGACACTTTTTTTTGGGTCTAAGACATGTCGGTTTCCTCAAGATGTTTTTCCTCCCTCAGCCGGGGATCGAACCTACGACCTCAGGGATGAGAGTCGCACGCTGAAGCCACTAGGCCAACACTGCTTTCTTTTATATGTACCATATAATTGTTGCAGGCTGTAGCAGTTGCACACGCACCGGTAGCAGTAGCTGCGCCGCTCGCTGTGGCCCACGCTCCCATTGCTTCCATCGGCCACCCATGGCGCTAGTCACACCTAACTTAACTTGCTATATCGCTGATTGGAGGAACGGCAGACCAAAGCAGACAGATTTGGAAGATGAATGGTGGTTAAGCGCCATACGTCTCTTAGTCCTAGAATATTAACTACGGTTAATGTCTGAGTTTTGTATATCGTTGATAGAAGCTTCTTGCTTGTTGTCTCGTACACGATTGTCACAGTATTATGAGCGATGTTGTTTTCTGTTATCAGAATAGGCGCGTTATATATATTTTTATTTATTTACTTCTGTTTAAGTATATAGGTTTCTCCATTCAGCAATAAAGCAAGCGCACACATGGAAATGTCCTATGTTATTTATTTGTACTACTTGACTGTTGCCACGGACTTGATCTTGACGCGATCATTTAAATGTAAATATTAATTGTATAGTTGATAATAAAGTGCAATTATTTGCGACCCTAATACGTATTTTTTATTACTTAATTACCTCAAAGCATAGCCTCTTCTGGAAGGAACTAACTAGGCCTATAAAGCCAGGAATTAACGCACAACGGACCAAATGGCCGTCTAATTGCGGAAACTGAGTCCACACTACTCTAAAGCTAGTGTTTACTATTACGTTTTAAACTAAGCCTATACTAGTACAAATACCATTCACACATTTCATCTCAATATAAAAGTATACTCGTATGGAATACTTTTATAGGAAACAAAAAATCATGCTATGGCCAAAATAAAGAAGTGAACCCCGTAATTGCGTTTAAATAAAAAATTCAAATGTGACAGAAATGGGATAAATAAAAAACTGAATTCCTAAGTATTTTCGCGTTAGCCCTATAAGTTAATGCTATTTTTATGTAGCAAGTTCGCGCGATCTCGTAAATCAGAGGCGAATGCAACCTATTTTCACATTAGGTAAAAACAAGATAATTTTATCTATCACAAATATTTACAATCACCTTAAGCTGCTATCAAAGTAACACTTAGTTGTAAATGTTATTTTTATATAAAATTTATTGCTTCAAAAATGATGTAAACTTTAATTGATTGAGTTCGTTAAATTTTCATATTTTATTAGAAAAATCTATCATTGTTTTTTAAGTAAAACATCGCTTAAATTTCAATAAATTTTTAGAAAAATTTAATATGTATTTTTAAAACACAAAAACATTATTTATATAACATATATCATAGCTTTCAGTATACACAAACGCAAACTCTTGAGCAAGTTGATAAATATGCATCAATCGGAACGATTCGGAATTTGTTCTTTTAGGAAAACTTGTCAAGAATTTTTCTTTCGACTCGAAGGACGGGTGGTTTCCGTTTCGCCGCAAAATAAGTTACCGAAGCGGGTTAATGTTACACAACTTACGCATTTTTAAAGTGATTCATACTATGGGACTATCTATAAACTCAATTCCACGTTTGATTCTGCGAAAATTGTCACAAAAGCTATATTAAACAAACATTTAATAAGTATTTGTTGTATTTACATTTATTTTTGTTTGTACATTTGTTTTAATATTAAGCATACCTTTTTCGTAGTTCTGATAACTAACGTGATCTTCAATACTTTTCATTTGAGGAGATTTAGTTAAAAATTAAACACAATCTCTTAGATATTAGACCAAAACTACTTTGATACAAAAAGTCCCCCATGAGTTGTGTGCTGCGATATTGTGGGCTACTCGATTGTGATGCAGTTCTCCTCATTTTAATATGTATGTTTCTGCATAAATATACAAATATTCTCGTTAGGTTTTGTGAACATCAAAAAGTAAAAAACCACTTCAAACTATTAATTACAATATTATTCAATTTAATATAGTCCTTTAAGAAGGATTACAAAGAACACAATTTAGTAAAAATAATTAATGGAATCTTAAAACAAAAACCAATTGTTTTATTCATTATTTATTTCTTAACCACTAAACGGGTATTCGATTTTGTTGTGCCCATTTCGTTATTGGTCTAGCGATGTGGTCTGCTCTTGGGTGTGCGCGAGGTCCTCTTATAAGGGCTAGAGCTTCGCGAAGGTCTGAAGTGGAATTAGGCTTATTAGCAGCGGCCGCTTGTGCGCATCCACACACTGCACCACGTAGTCCCTCCCACATCTCGGGGCCGCCGTCTAGTCTAAGATTTAAAGATATTTCTAAGATAATTTTTGGACTATCTACCTATGTGAGGATCATCCCATCCTAATAGGTCCTTTTTTATTTATTATTATCAAGTTTTAACAAACTAGTCCAAATAAATCATTGATAAAACGAATCATATTCATTTTACATCGACTATTATTAGTTGCACAATACAAAAAAGAAAAAAACAACAATAACAATAGAAGCAATTTAACAAATAACACAAATCCACATAATTTTAGAACCCGTTTTCTCAGATAATATTATTTCGCCAGAATATAAAGTTTTTCATAGTTTTAATATGCACTTACCAGTTACAAAAACGACATAAACATAGAAACTGATATAAACAATTTCGCTAATACAATCAAAATCAAATATGATTGCAATACAAAGAGCGGAAACTGATAAATGACACACTAAAAATGCAATTGACAAATATCTCATGAAATTACCTGTCCAACATGTGAAAAGCCTTAGCAGCGACTAGAAATTGTCCCATCCTGAAGCTATCATTAGCTACTAGCTGAAGTAATGCAAAGCTGTCTGGAGTACCAGCGGACTAAAACAACAGTTATTGTTAAATACGATTGTTTAAGTATAGAGAAGATTCAGAGTCGAGACTAAGCGCAAGATATGACTTACGTAAATCAAAATCCAAAACGTTTTCGACACGGGAGTCATGCTTAGTAAATCTCGACCCATATCTGCATATGCATATATCTGCAAGCGTAATGGCTAGGAGCGTGACTCACCCCTAAAGCCGTGTGTTACAACCCCGGCTGCACGGTTTTTTCTATTTTTGTGCGCAATTAATACTTAACACATTCGCCATACGGTACATGAAAACGGTAAGGAAATCAGCAACTCTAAGTCCAAAAGTTGTAAACAAAAGGCTGATCACTTACTTGCCTATAAAGTTAAAAGCTCAGATGCAGAGAGACAAAGACAAGAGTTGTGGCGTCTTTGTTTTCATTTAACGAAAAATAACAAACAAACTAAAATTCAAGTATTAATATTAAAAACGGGAACACTATCGCTAAGACTATTATGATTTATATAAAAGTGGTGTTAAAATAACTTTTTATTAACAAAAACACAATCAAAAACCTACCTTAACACATAGTTCCCATGCGAGATGCGCTTCCTTATTCATAACGTGGCATCGACATAAACATGCTAAATATGTAAAGGAGCTACGGATGCCCTCATCTTGGATCTGAATAAGACATTCTTCAGCTTCACGATATAACCCGGATCCTACTTTTGCCTGTTGAAGAAATATGTGTATGTACAAAAATTATTCTACGCGAAAATTTCCACTTTTACAAAGTAAAAACACTATTATGAATTTTTTTATACGTGTTTTAAAGTGTAATTATATCTATACTAAATTTAAAAGAAAATATATGTATTTTTGTTTATTTGGGCTCAAAAACTACAGGACAGAAAAAAGCTATCCAACAGAATTTTTTTTTTTCAAGAACCATTCCTGAGATTTACCGCCTATAATTAAAGCACAAACCAAAATCTCAGCTTTCTAATATAACTACGAGGTTGCTATCATGTGATAAAACATGTACAATACACAAAAATATTGATAAACACAAAAAAATCTAAATATTTTACCTGGGCATAATTGAAGTTGAAAGTGTCATCATTGACAAAGAAACTTTTAATGGAGTTCAGATAGACCAGGACTTCTTCGAATTGTCCCGCCAGGAAATATGAAGAGGCCATACACTGTCTTCCGGGAATCGTGTCGCATTCTGATGCGGAACTGCCTACTAGGTGGAAACTCTGCTGTGCTAGCTTCATTTGTTCCTCCTGCGGGAATTGTAGAAATCAGTTCCGTTAACTACAAAAGTTCTAATATCTGGCAATAGTCCAACATACGTCCAACAACGAAATAGTAATGGAGTTCCTACAATAGTAAAGTAATAAAAAAAACATTGTCTATGATTTACGCAAATTTACCTATTAATAAAACTCCTTTAACGGATCGAAAAGCGAATTTATTGACCGTAATGGTTGATCGAAACGTGTCGTTGAAATTGTATTGTAAAATCATGTAGAATTAAATTAATAAATAAGCGTAGCTTAACCCGTTGAATAAATTTCTTTTATTTTTATAAATTGTCTGTGCGCTGAGACATCATTCAATATTTCGATTTAGCCTAACTTAAGAGTAAAAAGTAATTCAAGTCCCACCAAAAAAAAAAAAAAAAATAATCACAAGAATGTGTCTAATAGCTCTACTTACAGCCTCTATTAAATAAGTTTTGTTTGAATATGAAAATTAATTGTGTAAATATATAATAAAACATATCGTTCGTTGAATTTTATATAAAGTTCGCATGCATATGCAATACACTTAAACTGTGTTCATGTAATGTGTTCGAATTCCGCAATCAGCTCAGTTAACATATATGTATGAACAAAATTGCATGTTCTTAAAGAACAGGTCCCATACCGGTTGTGCCTTATGGTGAACATTGAACTTCGATTCTCTGCGAAACGACTAATTTAATTTGTACCAAAATCTGATTCTTGCCTATTACAACTAATTGGTGAATCCTACATAGAAACATGGCTTTTGCTAGTCTAGCAAGAACAGCAGACATAATATGTATAATAAAAAAAGCTATTAAGAAAAATTTGCAGCGGGACTATTTTATTTGCGTTGACAGATAATCATCCTATTACTCGAAGTTTAGGATTTTTCTTTGTGATCTGATGACTGAGTGATTTGATGTCTTCTAAGTCTGCAGAAGTTTTATGTCTTAGTAAGCTGTAGTACGGGAAGTAATTTCTTAGTAAGTATAACTCTTTGTAGCCTTGCTCCTTACATCGCCCGTATCGTTGTACAATCGCACAGCAATAACACCACGCAAGATATAGTGCAATGGCGAGGTGGGTTGCAGTGGTTCCAACAACTCCCTTGCCTCCAGTGGTTCACGGTGACGTAGTCTATAACCAGCTAGGTTTAGTCTGGCTTCCGGTACTACATCTACGAGCTCTGGTAAGACCTATAGAAGAAAAAGAACTTAACAGTTATATGATTAAATAGTTGCTTATTTATAAAATGTATGAAGTGAGATTGTTTAATCAATGCGTGTAGCAAGGTAGGCCCTTCTATTGTTGTTTATCTATACGAAATAGGTTTATACTAAAAAATATTATCATATTATTATATACTACATATATAAATCTGTATTTACCGCGTTTGTATAGGGGATATTTTTAAAATTTTGGTGTTACTGAGTATTAGTTCGCTGTCACTCGGACTGCAAAGAAGCGAAGCGCCACTTTTACCGCGACTTTGAGTTTTACAGGACGAGGAACGTAGTTTTGTCGGTAATTTATGGCATTTATGTAAGCACTGCCCTGATAAACAATAAACTACAAGCTCCCACCTTTTCAGAATGCCAAATCATAAAATGACTGCTTCACGACTGATTTGAGAGCGACCGCCGATGGGAAAACCGCTGTGTGAGTTCGAAAAGTGAGTTACAGAATCGCAGGGCTGGTATATCTATTGCGGATTTTTAAATCTTAACAGGTGAAATTTTCAAACTCTCAACTGTCTAAGTATTTGCTCACGCCGCTATCGTTACCGCGGAACATTAATTCAACGATACTTAAGGGCATATATGTATACATAGATTAGTATGTCAATTACGGAGTTTAATTAACAGAGTGCTGGGCCCGCTAAGGTATTTCCGTTGCGTTATTTTTTCCTCCTTTTAGAGGATGTGATCTTTTCCCCTAAGTCAAAAGTAACGTGGTACCTAACCTCATAATACCACCATCTAGCATGCACCACCGAGCAACCTAGACATAAAATATTTGCTGGGAGCGAAAATCGTTTGATTAAAAATACAAAAGCATTTCAACTTTTTACAAGTATTGCCATTACGAAATTCTGCCCTTCTTTTTTTTACATTCCCTATGTGACATTTTCCGTAAACAATAGGTAACGTGGCCCTTACACACCAAACCAAATAGGTACACCATACACAGCTAGTATTATTAATAAAAGCGAATACATAAATGACTTGAATTGACACAGTGAATCTCCATCGCGTTCAAAAAGACAAAATATGTTTTTATAATTTTTTACCTTTAACGCTCCTTCCCCATTTCTAAATACAACCAAATTATGTTTTACTAGATCTTGCCCAAAAGTGTGTTGCTCTGACAATATTTGCTTTAGTTCTGTTTCTGCCGACTTTCCATTGTACAATCTAAAATAACAAACTTTTAATTAAATACATCAAAGAACAGAAATTTGAGACCAAAACAAGTTTAGAAAGACCATTTTCCAAAAGAACCACTGCTTTAATAGTAAGCAGTAATACAAAATGTCAAATTTCCAGTTCCAAAAAAAGGAACATTCAAGTTGTAAAATGGACTAGAATGTAGCTTTTACTACGGTATCTTGTTGATTTCTGAAACCTAATGGTTGCGGACTGCGGTTCCGAATATCACTACTCAACACGGCGGTTTTCAGTACAAATTGTATTAAAACTCGTGCGTAGAAATAAATTCAGTGACATTTAAAATTACTTAACGAATCTATCGTAAAAAATAGAAAGATCTGTGGCAGAGTATTTGTATTGAGATTTTCGGTGTACGTGGAATATTAGAGGGTTGTCAATTTTCTGTTCCACATTTTACTTAGATGATACATGGGGATTATTACTACTATACATATAGAGGGGATATTTTAATGAAATTACCTGAAAAGATTGCAAGCTTTTAAGTTTGATGCAATTGTAGATGTAGGATGTTGCGTTAAGTAGACTCCGAGAACTTCCTGCGACACGTCGTAGTAGTCTAACTTGTAGTAGCATAATGCCACATACACATTTAGAGCCATGTATGTACTGTAATATGTGAACACGTTTAATTATTATAATTATCTATTTGACTTGACTAAGGGTTAGTCAATGGTTATGTTTGCTGTAAAGCATGCAAAACGCGTCAAGTCAGATATTTTCAAGTCAATATGAAAAAATAGTTTTCGTAATGTTGTCACTTTACTTAACCGGTGACACGGAAAACTTGCATTGATTACTGATAAAACAATTGTATTTCAAATTGGTAGACGTAGCCCTTAAAATGGTTAAAAAAATATAGGCAGAATTTGTCACCCCCTTTTACATGTATTAGTAATTTGGATGAATTTGAAGTACTAAAAATAAATAATTAATTAATCGTTGAGATTAGTACAAATCTATCATTACAATCTATTCTAAACTAACTTGTTTAAAAAACAAGTCAAAGACATAAGTAGTATCAATAATTTTAAAATAAGTATACATAATGTTTAACATGTTTCACATATATATAATGATACTAGACTATACCACAATATACGTATTCAAGCATAGGATTTATTCATTCATAGCTCGGTTTGTATAAAGAAATACCTACATGGAGGATCTGGATGTAGGTATTTCTTTATACCAAAACCAGACTTATTATCAAAACCAGACTGATATACAGTATGGCAGGAGAAAAAGTAATTATACTCTTGTTAATAATTAATTATACGAATGAATTTTTTGTTCGCATTCTAATTTTTTTTAATAATTTGAATCTATTCTATAAGTATACATACGTCTTCATAAAATTATGTTATTTACCAAGACGAATGTGCCAAAACTTTGATCCATTCCATATCGCCCGACTCATATCTTTTATAACTGAAAATACAAACATAAAACTGCCTATACTATGATTTAGTATTACAAAAAAGGTAGGTACAGTGACCGAACGAACTTGTTATTTGTAATAATATTATTACGTGTGTTATTAAGCTGCGTGAGCTTGGCAGGATTTTGGTGAAGAGGAGAAAGTTAAGCAAAATAATTTAAGAAAAAATATTTCTCCGCATCTAAGTTACAAGCCGGGACTTGCCTTGACAAACTATAGAGAAAATATATGAAATTTACGAGTGCTTTATGCTTTTTTCCATAAATACTTTCACTTTGAAAGAATTTCTTTAAATAGCTCCTTACCGTCTATCCAGAAGTAGTTTCTTATAAACATCTATAGCCTCCTGGTAATGAGCACGTAGGTAGTGTACAGAGGCCAAGCTAAGTTGGTCTTCAGGGACATCGCGAAGCGTTGCGTGCGCACCCATCAAAGCTTCTTCATCTTCCAGTTTATGCGCTAGGTGGAACTGTAGACGATTCTGAAATATTGTTTAATATTTATTTTTATTAGTATTATGATAATTCATTAAATATGTCATAACAGTGATTTAACACGATATCCAAATTGTTGTAAAATAACATATATATAACCTAAACTTTTACATTGGATAAATTTTATATTAAATTGGTATTTAACAATCATTATCTTTATTATTTTATATCAGGCTATCGTATAGAAATCTGAATCATAACATTTACCTACGATTGTCAATTGTTTCTTTTAACAGTTCCTTCCTGTAACACTCTACAATACTGGAACTGCTATTAACAAGAAAAAATACACAATAGTGGAAAAGTATATTTACTATACCTTTAGCGCACATTTCGGCGCCGCTTCTATCGTTTCTTGCGACTCCTTATACATTCCTGAAATAGACAAAACACTTCCTAGAGATGAATGATTTAAATCGAGTAGCTAATGGGGTAAGGGACACTATGTTCAAGCACTGAATTCAGGACTACGGATGCGGGCGTAAATAGAAAATTAGAAGGTAAATATTAAATAAGCATATCCTCATAACCACGGAGCAACTAATATTTTTTTGTCTTTGTTTACATACAGGAGGTCTCACACATTCTTATCACTTCATTGTTGCATGTTCAGTGTGTCAAAGTTAAAATCGATTTTATACATATATTAATGATACTTTTGTTTTTGTTTATTGAAATAAATAATATATAAAACCTCTCCTACTAATAAAATAATACAATATACGTGCACACACGTACCAAGAACAGAAACAGCCAATAAAGCCCGAGCCGCCTAACCCGCTGCACGAGTAACTCGGCAGCCACCGGCATCAGTAACTCTATCGGCTATGGGTATCTTTTGTTTGGATTTACTATTATCTTAAGAAAAGCAATTTTGTTAAATATTCCATTTTAGTCTAGACATCTGAGCTTTCCACTTCTCTCTTATCGAGCACTCCACACATGCGATGAATTTCTGTTCCTATACTATACGCTAATTATAAGTGCTGAATTAGAGATAATTTTCCTTACCCAAATAAAAATAGCATACAGCAATATCAAGCGCGATATTATCAGCAATCTTCGCATCAAGTTTGTCTCTGGTACGAAGCTCCAAATACTTGTCAAGTGCTCGTCGGTACTCGGCTAAGTGGAACCAGCACCAGGCGACCCATACTCCTACCCACTCGGAGGTATTGCCCTCATGTGCTAAGAACTATTTTTTATTAATATTTACTAGTACACAAGAGGACAAACCACAATTTATGTCACCCGCACGTGATTAACAAATGCCTTGTTTTGATCAATGCCTATTTGTTAATTATTTGATAATATATGAATTAGAACTAGCCACTGAGTTTTTATTAATATCTTATTCAATCCGATTATAACAATACATATTAATATTTATTTTATATCATATCAGAAATGTTTACTATCTAGTTACCGCACTTTTCTTTTGTCTTGCACATTGTCAAAACAAAAGTCCTGGAGATTTTTTATTAGCAAAAAACGCCACCTTACCAATACTCTATTCCCGGTTATACCTTTTCCCAGCCTTTATATTACAAATACTTACTTCAAGCATAGTTATAGCCCCACTGTAATCCCTTTTTAAAAGAAAATCTTCCAGTTCGGGAAATTGCTTTTTCGTAGCACTACTGCCCGCTCTCGTGTCATTTGCTGGTTTTGCTCGAGATAAAATCTACGGTAAATAGGAAAAATATATGTGTATGTGTAATTTATTATATGTGTTATATAGTTAAATAACTTACCATTTCTTTAAATACAAATAACTTTATAACAAAGTCTTATTTTGCGTATACCTATTGATGGCTTGTATTAGTTGCCATGGAAACTGGAATTGCCGTATATATTATATATTCTGAATCGTTTGCTAAAACTTTCCAAGAGAGCCAAATAATAAACTATATCTGAGGTTTAACAATAACAATTCTAATATGAGTGAAATAGTGATAACAAGAAAGAAAAATATAACTTTTTAGGAAACAATACATATATAAACTAAACAGTTAAACACAGATAAAAAATAAAGAAAAAATCAATAGTGCAAGTTGCCATGGTTACGTGAATCCTCTGCAGTTGCATAGCAACCAAACAATTGCAATCAACTTTTGATTTTGTACGAAGTCTACACACAATTCCTATATAACTTTAGTAAACATATTACTATACAAATAAGTTAGTAATGTCAGAAGATCATAGAGCATGCCCATGCACGGAGAGTCCCAAAGAGAGTCGGCCATCACTGCCTGAGTGTGTGTGTCCGAGAGATGAACATGACCTTGTCAAGCATCATGAGAATTGCGTATACTATCGCAACGAGGAACTTATATTCCCGCAGGTAACTTGATAATATCTTTATAACACTAAAGGGGCCGTTTAAGTATTAAGTAAGCAGATTTACTGCAATATATCCTCCCCCCCCCCCCCCCCTCAAGCTCTCAAAAGTACATAAACGTATTTTTTTGTAGGATGTGTAAAAAAGTAAATAATTGCGGTTGACGTAATCACAAAATAAGAAAATCAAAGATACTTAAGGGGCCCCAAAGGAGTAAAAAACATTCAAAATGATAAATTTGTAGAATAAGATATGTTTTACCGTTCTGGAATACTTTTAATAGTAACTTTATTTGTAGTTTTTTTAATTAATTATTTTATAGGATCATGAAGCTTGCGAATGTTATGAGCCTCCACCCGAGGACGGAATATGCGCGTGCTGTCGTTGTCCACTTGACAAATGCCGCTGCGCAAAAGCTGGTAGAGAGGTCTTTGACGAGTGAGTTTGTATACCTTTACATGATGTAAACCTAGAATATATCTCTATTCGGTAAGCTAGTCTTATGGGCGTTTATTTATTTAATAATACTAATTGAATTAAAACTTCTAATGCGACTTCCAACAAGGTTGCTTTAAACGTTTAACGCCTCTGGGGAGGGGGAATAGAAAGAGACAGAGCGAGAGTGAATGCTTCCTATTTTCATTTCCACATTACGTAGTTTCACTTCTTACAGAATTCGTATCTTTATAGAATATTCTTATCAATCGTTTTTTTTTTTAATTTTTTACAAAAAATACACTGATTATGTAGCTCCATAGCCACACTGTATATATGAGCTAATGGAGTCGATTCTTAATTCCCAAAAATATAAAAAAAAATATAATTTAAATTTACGACAAATTTAAACAGAAGTTCTTATAAAAAGAATAATAAAAAAGAAGTATTCCTTTCCTTTAAGAGAGTGGTAGCAATAATCAATCATTATCGGAACTGCTATTTATAGCCTCTACGGCACGTTGAGGAAAAGTATTATATGTGTTAATTTATCTGGCTTCGCTAGGTGGCGTAGTAAACGCGATATAGGAGCGATGCCTGCCGTGCTTGAGGCTTCTCATCCCTTGATGCAACGCTTCCAACAAACTTTAAAGCAGTTCTTGGAGAAGGAGAATGCAATTGCGCAAGACGAAATTCTTAATTTGGTACAATTGTTTTCACTAATATGTACTGTAAATACACAATTTAGACCCTATATATAACATCAATTTAGAAAATATTTAAGATGCCATATATATATATAGAGATGAAAAAAGAAAGAAGGAAGTTAAATACCCGTGTGTGATACTCGTTTAATATTAGCTGGTATCAGTCTCGATATGTAAGCATGAACTTTAATAGAGAAAAACACTAATAACGACTAGGTGGCTCATCACACTGATATTTGTCAAACTGTATGTTATATACTGATAAATCCAAACGAACAGAAATCCTCGTAGCTGTTAGGTCGCTCCGTGAAGCCTGCGATGTTCCCAGGAAACTTCTGAGCTTCTGGAAGGAGCTAGGCTGGCTTAATTAGCCAGGACTTTACGCACTGATCACTGCGCACTGAAAACTGAGTCCACAAAACATACATTCATACTGATAAATCCACATTCTTTCACATTTCATTTAAAAAATTATAATAATTTGTTTAATAATTTCAGCGAGAAGAATTAAGGCTTAGCAAGGTGGCGTATGAAAAAGATTTGGAAGCAATTTACCGAAGTGATCACGATACTAATGCTCAGCGGGTATATTTTACTTTCTGAAATTTTATTACACGTAATATTAACTATAAAAAACTGTTTACTAACATAATTAATCAATACCAAGAATTAATAGTCGTAAAATAATAATTGCTATACAGTGGCGTAACAATAGGGTGGCAGGGCTGGCAAAATGCCACGGGCCCCCGACCCAATAGGGCCCCTGCCCAAAAGATATTATGTTCTATGGATGAATGTGAAGTCTCCAATTCGCATTGGGCTATCGTGGGGATTAGAGACCATTCCCTCTCGCTTAAGAGAGGAAGCCTATGGCCCTTAGTGGAACATATACAACGTGTAATTGAGTACGCTGAAAATCTCGAAGTTTAGATATTAAAATTAAACAGTACAACGTGGCGACTTTTACTGATAGGGTATAGTTACGCCAATGATGCTATATCTACCTATTGGTGCAAATAAATTGGATTCTACTTAAAAATGGCTGTAAGTAATTAAGTGTCTGGGGGCACGTCGCCAGCCAAGTCGAGCAAAAAAGCGACAACGCCGTACCACCCTTTTCTCGAAGCAGTTCAGGCCATGTTCGACCCCTTATAACTTAGTTGTGGATAAAATTAGAAGCCTGAATTTTTTACAAAAGAAGATTTGTAGTATTTATGTGGTAACTATAAGATGTTGTTAGGCTAGCTATTACGTGATAACATAATACAAAAGGTCCCTTAAGTATGTACTGAATAAATTGACCGACTTGGTATTACATGGATCTCACAACTGTTTACGACTATGTATGAAATAGCAGTTTTTTAATCAGCACTCTACCTGGATGCTGATAGTAACTTTAATGAGTACTGGCATCAATCAATGTGTACTTACCCTTAGATTTAAACATACGGGAGTCATAGCTAGCTTAGTATTGACCCTGGGGACTTGGTTCGTTATAGGGACTTTATCTTACAGTGACATACAAAACTGTTACACAAATAAGTAAGTTTGGACAGAATAAATTAACCGTCTTGGTATTACATGGATCTCACAACTTTATACGGTAGAAGAACTGCGTTGCGAGACATAGGTTTTTTTCAAGTTATGTTTTTGATAATTAGGTCCTAATAGAAGAGTATGAGAGTACTCTAGCCCAGAGTGCAGCTGACAGGCGGGCAGCAGAGCAGAAATCACGTGAGGCCAACGATCAATATCGGAACGCTAAAGAGAAGCTTGACCAGCATATTGTGACAGGTTGGATTATTTATTAACAATGATGATTATATTATTATAATAATTACAGTTTAAAATTATAAGTCGTTGACTTATGAAAAAACAATAATATTAAAACGAAGTATCAATAAACATAGTTTTAATTAAAATTTGTTCTCTAAACAGAATACTTCTTTATTTTTTAAATAAATATTTTTACGCTCTAAAACAATAATTAAGTACTTTTTAAGGTTTAAAAAGCACTAGTAAATTATTAGAACCTTCAATTAAAATTCAACGTGTACACTCACGATCACGTCCCTTTCTCGCTTTGAAGCCTATACTCGAGACGTATTTACAATTTTTTATTTAAAGTTTTAAAAAAATGTAACAACATAAGTAGTTCAGGAATATGAACTTGATTTATATAATATATTATGAAATATTCATTGAAGCATATTTCGTAAAGGCGTAGCAATTTAGTCAAATTAAAACTTTGCTGACAAACTCTTTATAAACTCATTACAAATACATAAGGTAATAGCTATTCACCTGATCATGCATTTAAAATAAGATTTGTTATACAGAGAGGGAAGCCACAGAGGAATTAGAAGCACTGACAAGTCTATGTAAACAGTTGGAATCATGGCGCGAAGAGACGGAGTCAGATTTGACCGTCAGTCAACGAATGTCAGACAAGATGCGAGCTGAGAAACGGGCCCTCGCTGATGAAAAACGGCAACTGGTATGAAGTAGCAGTTTTTTTTAATCTGGAGCTGGACTATTTCTGGATGCTGATAGTAAATTTAATGGGTACTGGCATCAATCTTACCCTTATATTCAAACATACGCGAGTCATAGCTAGCGCTAAGTATTCTGAGGACTTGGTTCGTTATAGGGACTTTATCTTTATGAACACTATTATTAAGTCATCTTACAGTTACATACAAAACTTTGTTACACAAATATTTTTTTTGTTATTTATTTATGTTTTATTACGTCGTACACGTTAAAAGAAAATACAATATGCTAATTTGTCGTTTTTATTCAAAACCAGGACATGATAATATACGGGCTAAGCAATGAAGTGTGGAAGTTGGAGTCAAAACTGGAAATGTTCCAAAAACAAATGGAAATTAAAAATAACGAGATGGAGAATGTCAACGATAAGGTAATAAACAGCAAAATGTTGTAAAATACTTCGCATCACAAAAATAACTACCTATAAGCATTTGTTTTGAGAAATAAAGTTAAAATATTAAAGTTTAACTTGAAACAAGGGAATCAATACACTTACGCCAAGTAGGTATTTATACAACTTATTTCGCGTGGCCAATTTTTAATTATAATTAGGATTTCATTGCAAAATAATGAACAAACCAATGCGCTTAGTATCTTCTCCATGCTCTATTAGACTTTTAATAAAGCAGCTACAATAGAGTCGTTTTCTAATACATTTACTCTCTTGCGATGTCTTTCAGAAGTGGACTTATTAATAATTCTAATTACAAATGTTCTAAGG